CCCAAGGTGGTTGGTTCGTACCCTTTGGTGCTTGTACTAATTCCGCTCCTTATGTCTTTGTTACTTATGCAGCTTTCACAGTCAGCTGCTGTTGATAAATGGGGGCATTTGGGGGCAGTTTCGGGACCTGTTCCCAAAATGGCGGCAGCAGGATTATGGCCATGGCTGAGGAGACGGGCTGTTCTGTGTGGGCTGCTGCCTGGGGTGAGTGATGGCAGCAGCAGGATGAGCCATCCCTCGGCAGATTTGCTTTCTGAAGCAAAAGCCTGTCTTGTTTAAAACCTCTGATTCATTAAGGGGACAAACAAACAGGTCAGGCTTAAGGGCCAAGAAACACCCAAATGCAGCAGAAGTTGGTGTGAGCCTCATTGGAGGAATCAATGAAAGGTGCTACTAGATTCTTTAAAACTGTCTTGTAGGTGATGGCTGCCATTGAGTCGGCAAGCTTTGAGGAGGAACAGCTTCCTAATAAGAGAGAAACTATGATTTGGAAGCCCAGAAAAGGTAAGCCTAAACTATTAGAGCAAAACAAAGCAGACAGCAAGTAATGAAACTTACACTCTGCTTGAGGAAATGTACTTAAAATTCTTTGGTGATGCATGGGAAATGTCTCTTCAGTTTGTGCACTGAATTATTTCCGTATAGATATTTGTGTATGCCTAGGTGCAAGAGTAATTAGTCAATACTACAAAAAATTTTTTTTTTTTTTTTTGTAAACTAGAGCTGTGTTCTTTCAACATACCTATTTTTTTAAAAATACCATGGTGAATGCGGTGAAACAAGACTGCTGGGTCCTGTGCCCTAGTTTAAACAGTTATTTTCCAACAAAAGTCTGTGGAAAATCCTGACTTGGGCTAGTGTTGTAATGCAAACCTATGTCTGATGTTCCCAACCACCTGAAGCAGCACTGTCATGTTATTACATATGTAAGGAATTACATATATTATAATTTGATTGGTAGTCACAAAATGCATTCATATACCTGGCTGAATTATTGTATGCTGAGAATGTAATTGTTCCTGTTTAATTCCTAAGTATCTCTGTTGGGTCTTTCTATTGTTTTTAGAATGTTTGCTGAAGAATATTCCAAATGTTCTTGATAGTGAGTCTGAAGAAAGTGAATTCTCTGATATTTCTCACAATGAAAATGATCTCAGTGGCTCTCCTGTTGACTGTGATCATATACGTCCTGACCTGGAAGACTTAGATGGTGAAGTCACCGGTATGCCTGAGGCTATAACTTTTCCAGAGGTGCAGACTGCTTCTGTGTATGAAGCGGAGGAGGACTGGGATAAAGAATTGGAGTACTCTGAATGTAATCCTTATGGTGAGTACAAATTTACTTGTGCTTCATTTGAGTTTTGATTAGTATGTGATGTGAGGTAGGTGATTTGCAGGAGAATGTGTTTAAATAACTCCATGTTCTATTTTGGGCAGCTTTTTTTGTTGTTGTTGTTGACCTCATGGATTTGTAATGCATAATTTGGTTGTCAAATACAGGATTTAAAGGCAGCGTTGTGACGTTCACATGAAACTCTTGCTTGAGCAATTGGATTCTTAGGGAGTGGAATGGTAAGGAGAATTGTATGTGTATTGAGTTTCTCTGGAGAAGCTAGGTCTCAGCAGTGTATCTTTGTTTTTCTGAAGCAGAAGAAAGAGGTACATGGGGTGCTGCAATGTAACTTTTTTTTTTTTTTGTGTAAAAGGAGTTCTTCCTTTCCTCCAAGAAAATTCATCCAGACCGTACACTGTAATGTCCCTCTAGAGCATGGAGTTCTTGGAGGGCAGCAGTACAAATGCTCAGTCTCTGGGTACGGTTTATTCTTGCTTTTGCTGTAGGGGTTTGGGATTTTTTTTTTGTTTGCTTGTTTTGTTTGTTTTTGTTTCGTGGTAGGATTTTTGGGGGTCTTTTTGTTTGGTTTGTTTTTTATTTTTTTTTAAGCTTGATCCTCTTAAGTGGTTGTGCATGTGATCAGTCCTATGAACAAAGGTGGCAATGGATAGAAGCAGTTTCATCCACATCTTTAGAGTTGTATTAGCCCTCCAGTTTGTAAACTGTTTTTACAGTGACTCATGTCTCAATCTTCCATTTGCCAGGCTGTATGTTAGGATAGAACAAGTGGATGGAGTTTAGCCAGCAGGGGTGACCTGCTGTGTCTTTGTTGACAGAGAACAGTACCATTTCCATTTTCTTCTCGTTAATGCATATCTTTTGTAATTAATACAAACGGACCTTTCTTTGCTTACGAAACATCAATGCTCTGTTTACTTCAATTCCATAAATGGCTGTTATATTCAAGTTCTGTTGTTTGATAACAGAAGGATGTTTGCAGCTTTCCTATAAAATCATTCTGATTTTAAAATGGAAATACAGTAGTGGTTTTTCACACTGGGTAATCTGGGAAAAAGACTCTTTCCTTTTCGGATGTTTCCCTCTCTTCCTTCCTGGGATTCCCTTTTAATCTCTCACATGCTCAAATTTATGAAATATTTTGATTTGTTTTTTCTTTTTTTCTTGAATTGTCACAATTTCTCTTCTTTTCCTTTATTTGACTCATGCTTACCTGTAGCTTTTGCTCTTCAAATCCTCACAAACTAAGGAAGCTGTGATTATGGGATTCAGGTGCTTGTGAAGGATACTGAGTTCAAGTGTCTGAATTGTTAACTGCTACAAATAAAAAATGTGCTTGGTTGGTCATTTTATGTTTTTTAAAAAACTTTTAAAAAAAATCTTGCTTTGATGGCTTGTTTGGCAGTGCTACTGGAAGGCTGACACGTGGATATACTGTGTTGGGTTCTCTGCTGCCCCATACTCTGGGCTTTTCATTTGCTCAGTCCTTTGAGTGCCTGCTGGCTAGAAATCTTTTGCTTCTGTGAAAGGACTTTGCCCTATTTTTGTGCTAGGTTGGTTAAATAACAGGCTTATTAGGCTTAATTCTAGCCTTGTGGAAATGTTCAGAGCTCGCTCTTACAGGACCCCACCCTTCCAGTAACCCAGTTGTTAAAGGGTTTGGAGGGCTCTTTATTGGGATGTGGTTATGGAAACAGCAGGAAAGGGGAGGAGAAATAAAAGTAATGGTTTCATGAGCCTTTTATACCTGGAGAAAACTTAGAACTGCATGCACTGTAAGAGCTCGTGTTGGATGTTCTGATTTCAGGTATGTCATTGAGCTTCTTGGAAAACTGTTTTGTCTCTGTGGCAAGAACCTTCTTTAAAATGAAGACATTGCCAAATTCAGCTTTCTGTTTGCTTTGTTTGTTGGTCTGATTCATGAGTGCTGGCAGATCAAATTGAAATACTTAACTGGAAGATGTGGTAGACCTGCAAAATAATCTGCTACACTATACGACTAGTTTTCTAAGTATGTCCCATGGTTTAAATCTTTTCTTTGATCTTCTTTAGATGCTGACGATCTCTACTGTGGAAGCTTTCAGGAAAATAATCTTTTGGCCTCATACTCATGGCAAGAGGATTCGTTTTACAACCCAAGCTGTCACCATGCAGCTTGCTTTGCTTTTGTGCCGCCAGTTAGAGTGACTGAGACTGGCCAGTTCGATGATGCTGATGAATGAGGTTGACCCTGGTCAGAACTAAGTTTGGCTTCTGAGTTGGATTATGTTCTTCAGCAGTTGAGTCATGTCAAGTCCTTTGGCTTGCTTGCAGAATTCTGAATAAGGCCAGAAATGCTACACCATCTCCGAAGTTTTGCTTAGACTGCTTCTGGGCTGTTTATAAATTGACCACACTTGATCTCTGGAAATGAGAGTGCAGGTGCTAGCTGTAAGGAGTCAATGCATTTTTGGACTTTTTGTTTGTATTATATAGATCTATGTTGTTGCTAATAAGTTGCTTGAGAGGAAGTATTTTAATTTCTAAACTTCAGCTTGTTTGCCAAGCTTTGCCAGTTTCGACATGCTGATCCCTGTGTGTCTGCATAACCTGTAGTTTGCTTTCCTTTTCATTTGATGCTGTGAAATTGGTTCTCATAGATTTAAAAACTCTTCCCTCTTCCAGCTTCTCTGTTGTATTTCTATGTTGCAGTTTGTGATTCCGTATCTAATACTGGTGTTTAACAAAATTAGCTATGACAAGTACAGAATGAGTTGTTTCATTCTTATTTTTATGTGTTTCAGTATAAAGGGATTACAAATACATGATACACATTTTGCAAATACACATGTGGACATACACTAGGGCCTGTTGCATCCAATAAGCAACGCTGAGTGCTTAAGGCTGCCTCCCAGCAAAGGTTTCCCCACATCAGACTTTCTTGTATATGGGCATATTGTCCTCCAGTCTCAGAGTTGTATTTGTAACGTTCTCATGCAACATCAGATGTGTAATCACAAAGAAAATATCTATGCTTGCATAGTGTCTTGTAGTATATAATCTCTGTGTCCTGCAAACAGTAGTGAATTAAGGTTCCTGATGCTGCTGAAAGACTTGTTTTGTTGTTGTTTAAGTAGTGGCAAATGAAGAGATGGGAATACAAAATACCTCCATGAAGTCTCTAAGACAATAGCTGGAACTAGAACCATATCCTTCTTGCCTTTGCTTTGCTTTGCTTTGTAGTTAAAGGGAATGTTCTCAAATGAAGTATATGAGTCAATTGAATGGCGGGTCACTTGAGTAACAATCTTCTACTAATGCTTATGTTTCATTAATCACTTATCTTTCAAGAACCTTTTGATGGCTTTGTGTTTTGACACTGACTGATACTGGAGCAGAGGACCCATGTTTGTTTATTCTCAGGCAAGGAGTTAACAGTTACCACTGGAAGACTTTTTTTTTAATGAATTATCCAATGTATGAGACTGAAATAATTTATGCATTAGTTTGGAAGGAGGAAGCGAATAACACAGCGGTATCTGCTTAAACTTTTCCTTGAGAGCAGAGGAGGACCAGAGCTTGGAAGAGTCTTTTCTTCTGGTACGTTGCTGTTCCTGGTTACGTCTTGGTAGCTAGCAAGCAGTCCAAGTAAAGAGTGGAAGCCTGGTGGTAAGGTTGCAACAAAGAGGGCCTGTTCTTTTATTCCTATATGATGGAGTGATCTAGGAATTAGTATTTCCATCAAAACTTACTTTGGCATGCCTCCAGAACACATACATACAGCAGAAAGCACAATCTAACAGACTATTCTTTCCCTGAAGGGCAAGAAAGCCCTAGCTGTGCTCTCTAAGGCATTGGGGGAGTTTTTTTTGTTCTGTGAACTGCTGTGTGTAAGAGAGAGAGTGCAGCTCTTTGAGGCCTCCATTGGTTAGAACATGCACTTGACTCTGTGGAACAGAAGTGAGAATTGGCTACGCCCAGTTTACCAGGTTTGGATATATAGTGAATTCTTTCTCTGAGAAAACAGGAATGAAACTCAGAGCGTAACTATACCTGACTCATCAACTGGAGAAAAATTGTTGATTTGCATTTATAAATGCACTATTAATAAATAGAAATTGAGTACAGATTACTGTTGAAATAACAATACACCAGTAAATTGTGAAAGCTCTTCTGAAAAAGCACAGATTATTTTGTAAGCCCATTTATAGCTTCCCAGGCTTCAGCTTCAGATGGCAATGCGCAACACTATGCTGCAGGGGGCAGCAAAAAATTGTCTGCCCTGCTCAGCATATTTTCATCTGGCACGAAGTTTCATCAGCAAGTGTCAGATCCTCGGCCTGGATTTCTAACGTTGATAGCAATTTAGATCTGTGTTCTGCATAGCACTGTTGTTCTCCAGTGAGAATGATTCTTGGCCCCGATTAGTTTCTCTTTTTTTTTAATCTTACTCTGAAGTTATACTTACTGGACTGAAAAATTTCTCCCGTGGCTGAGAAAAGAACATCACTTGACTTCAGGCTTAATATATTTTTTTTACTGTGCTTGTGGGAGATGTCCCACCGTATTTAATAAAGATGAAACTAACAGAATTCTGTGGAAGCAAATACGCCTTTTTTGTAATTGTTTTAAAAGGATAAACAGGTAATCTTTATAACATTGATTAGGATGATTTTCTTCTATGGTTCCAAAATTCTATCAGTACTGAAGTCTTCAAACCATTTTCTATGCATTGTCTAAATCAAGTTTGTTTTTTTCAGCCTGTACCTTTAATTGCAGTCAGCCTTGTCTATCTTGACTGTCTTGTTATTTGAGTAGGAACTGTCTTGCCAAGCTGTTTGTATTTTAAATGATTGTAAACTTAAGAGATTTGTTTTCAGTTTCCCTTTAAAGTTAAAACTGACACCACCCCCACCAGCTTTGGAAAAAAACGGCATGAGGATTTTACAGCAGAGATGCATTACGCTCTCTAGGGATATGTTGGCAAATGTAACTTCGTTCGTCTTGGCCCTGCTTGTTGGGGAAGGAGCTTAATGTAAAGCTTGATCTGAATGCTCTCAAACTTCAGTGGGATTAGAAAACCAGATGCAGACTTCTCAGAAAGCATCTGCCTGGAAGGATTTGAAACCAAGCTCATGGATTCCAGTGTTTCTGCACTACAGAGTGTTTCAAATTCCATTGTGAATCTTGCACTGAGCCTGTTTTGTGTTGACACAAGTGTGTCATTCTAGGCAAGAATACATTGCAATTAAAAACAACATAAGGTAACACGTGAGTCAACAGTTCAAACTAAGAGTGTCAGTCCTTCAGCCTGCTCAGATTATTGGAGGAAAAAGAGTCCCGTTACAGGACGAAGGTCGTACACATACAAGAAACATATTGGTGGTACCTAAATGAGTTGGAAAATTGGTCAGAAGTGTCAGATTTCTCAGTTAAATGCACATACATCTCTAACAAGATTTCCCCATTCTTCTATACCTATAGTATAAGATACCATTCAAAGGACAGAAGACTACTGCAGGTTAATATTGCAGGTTAATATCCTACCCGGTTTATATTGTGGGGGAGGCTTAGTAGTGTGGCATAATATGATTACTCAGAAGGAGACCTGGGTACATCTCTGAAGCTGCTCTTGCTTTTTGTCTCATTTCCCTATTTTACAGGTAGAGATAATGCTACCAGCCTGTGTGTAAAGTACTTCAAATTCTCTGAGCAAGAAATTTGTCTAAATAGTGAGGTGTTGGAAAAAAAAACAACAAAATCAAACGAACAACACACCAAAACAAAACAAGAGAGTTTTGCATTTTCTTTGAACAGGCCAGCAAAGAAATGAAAACTTGTTTTGGGTGCATCTGTTGTTTCCTTTGAGACCTACAGGGAATGATTTGCAAGAGGAAATAATTGAAGGAAATGTGTTCATATTTCCTGTTGGTAAGGTAGAGCGTTTAATTCATACATCATATTGAGATAGTGGTTTCTTGCTCTTGTATAACCACAAAATCCCACCCATTTTAGTGTCATTTAAAGACACTGCTGCTTGACCTGTTTTGTCCTATCTTTTAACTAGTGTGCTTTCACTCTTAAGCAGAGAAAACTCCACTGTTGAGGGGACTATGTGAATAATTTCACAGACTAAAGGAAAAGTGCTGATGGCAGCAGCTCATCCTGACCATCTGCTGCTTCCAAGGACACCAGTGTAAATCCCATTGTAACAAAGGTCATTTTGTGAATCTAGTGGGCAAATCTCTGTAGGCATGGGGAAGGAACTTGTGATAGTTACCCTCTGTGGTTCTGTATTGCAAACATAGACATGGGAGGCTTGAGTATTAGAGGGTAAAATTGTGGTGGTGGTGTTAGTCCTGGGAGTACCAGCTGCTCATAGCATAGCTTCCTAGCTTGGCAGAAGAAACTGTAACCTACTAAAAAAAGCTGCAAAGCATACAACCCTAATAATTGTTTTTAGTGATGGAAACGGCTTCCTTTAAGCTTTTGGAATGGATCTTCAGCTGGTATGAACTGTTGTAACACATTACCCAAGCAGAAGCTCTGTCTCTGTATATCCCCCTATGCAATGTGTGTGTCGTCTCTGATCACGTTCAGTATTTCATTATTGCTGTGGATTTTAATTCTTGATATAATGGGCTTTCTTTACAGTCATAGTAACTGTTGACCTTCACAGAGAAAAAAAAAAACATAAATGTGGCTCAATGTCTATATTTGTTTCTTTGCAGGTTGTTTTGGTGTGTGAGTTTTTTGTGTTTTTGTTTTTGGTGGGTTTGTTTTTTCCACGTGGAGGATGGCTAATTTCAGGAGATGTAGCAGAAAGCAGCCTAACAAAGTTAACTTCTTGTAATTTAGCAAGTCTTGATTCTCTGGCCTGAATTATTTTATTCAAACCTTTTCTACCAGCCTGCAACTTCTGCATTTAGACCTGGAAAATCTTTTCATTAAGACTGAGTTGTATACATAAGTTGTATGTATTTGTTTATGAGCCTGAGGTCTCGGTTTGTTTTATTTCCCTCAAGGGGAAATACCAGTTAATTCTGCTCTGTCCTTTTTGAGCTATTGGTCCTTAGTAAAATTTACATTGAGCAACACATTTTCTGTGAGACCTAGAGCACTGGAGAATGCCAAGTTCTCATTGTGCTGCTTTGCAGTTTTAATTAGCGTAGGTATTGCAGACCCTTGTTCCAACATTAAATGAGATATTTAGTATTTCTGTCGTTACCTCAGGAACTACTCC